GCTGGTGGTTTTGAACTGCAGAACTTGGGGTGACCTCTGTGCCACCAGGGTTCCCACAGCAGGGACGGTAGTCCAGTCATTTCCCTGAGTGCTTCAGGTCTGTGGGACCCCATCCATCATCCCGAGCCCCAGTCGCTATGCGGCCCCAAGCACGGATTCCACCCGGAAAGGGCATGGGGTCTCTGATCGCCACGAAAGTCCACTCTGGCTAAACCAGCCCCCCAGTCACCCGTGGGACACCACCCTGTTTTACTGCCTGTCGGTCACCATCCAGGGGCTCCTGAGGGTCTTCAAGGCTGTGAGCTTCGGGAAGCAGATGATCAGGGCTGTCTCGGAGGGTTAGAAACACCCCCAATCCCCCACCCTGGGGTTGTAGGTGACAGCGCCTTCTTCGTTTCTTTGTTCTCTGCGTGGACAGAGCTCCGTGAGAGGTGGGCCAGCCTCCCGAGCTGCTTGGTGCCTAGGTCAGTGCCTGGCCACAGAGGGTGGTCGGCACACTTGTTCAGGAAATCCATGGGGCCCAGGAACCGAAGTGACCAGTCCAGAGTCATCTGGCTAATAAATGACAGAGCTGGACTTGAACTCCAAGCCTCCATCATTCACTCCCAGAACAAACTTCCCCCAAGCACTCATTCTGCAGCGGATGTTTTTCCGAGAGGTTGGAGAGGACACCACTCCTTCCGCCCAGAAGTACAGCAAGGGGGACAGAAAGACGTACGACTCCACTTGGTCACCAAGGACAAGGCTATGAAGGTGGTCACCCACCAGGTGATGCACCTTTACCTCATCCTAGCCAGGCCTGACTAGTTGATCCGACTTCAAGCTTTCTACCCAGTGGTGCACTAGCCCCACCAGCCTGTCTGTCTTCACCCCGCTGGCTCCACACCATCGTCAGCATCACCACCGGTGCCACGGCCACTGCTATCACCTCTATTGCCTGTCACCATCACCACTGCCCCACCACCTTCCTCATCACCCACCGCCACCCTCACTGTCATCAGAGCGCACAACTTCCACCACCACCATCACTGGCACCCCACCACCGTCACCT